TCTAAGAATTTGCCCATTTCTTCTAGGTTGTCCAGGTAGTTGGCATGTAGCTGTTCACGATATACTCGTCTAATCCTCTGTGTTTCTATGGTATCATATCTCTTCTCTTTCACTTCTGGTTTTATTAGAGCTTTATCCCTTTGTTTCTTAGTGAGTCTAGCTAAAGGTTTGTCAATTTTGTGTCTATTTCATTTCTTCCCTGATCTTTATGTCCTTCCTTCTACTGACTGGGCTTCGTTTGTTCTTCTTTTTCTAGTTCCTTTGGGTGTAAAGTTAGACTGTTTGATATTTTTCTTGTTTCTTGAGGTAGGCCTGGATTGCTATAAACTTTCTTCTTAGTATTGTTTTTGCTGCATCCCATAGGCTTTGACATGTTGTATTGTCATTTGTCTTCAGGTATTTTTTGATTTCTTCTTTGATTTCTTCATTGACTCAGTAGTTGTTCCGTAGCATGTTGTTCCGTCTCTACGTATTTGTGAGTTTTCCAGCTTTCTTCTCATAGCTGATTTGTAGTTTCACACCACTGTGATTAGAAAAAATGCATGATATAATTTCCATCTTCTTAAATGCACTGAGACTTGTTTCGTGTGCCAACAGATGATCTATCCCTGAGAAAGTTCTATGTGGACTTGAGAAGAATGTGTATTCTGCTGCATTTGAATTGACTATACAAATCCATGAATCCATCTGGTCTAATGTTTCATTTAAGGCCACTGTTTCCTTGTTCACAGGACATCTATTCATTGATGTAAGAGGAGTTTTAAAGTCCCCTACTATTATTGTGTTGCTGCAAATTTCTCTTTTTAGGTCTGTTAATAATTGCTTTGTATATTTTAATGCTCCTATGCTAGGTGCATAAATATTAATAACTGTTATATCTTCCTGACGACTTGTCCCCTTCATCATTATATAACGTCCATCTTGTCTCTTGTTACCTTTTTTGGCTTGAAGTCTATTTTGTCTGATATATGTATGGCTATACCACTTTCTTTTGGCTGCCATCTGCTTGGAGTATCATCTTCCATCCCTTCTTTTGTGTCTATGTTTGTCTGTTGAGCTGAGATGGGTCTCCTGGAGGCAGTGTATAGTTGGGTCTTGTTTTGTAATCCATCCAGCCACTCTGGATGAATTGATTGATGAATTCAACTCATTTACATTTATGGTGATTATTGGCAAATAAGGACTTAGTACTGCCTTTTAATCTTTCGTTTTCTGGTTGCTCTATTTCCCCATTGTTTCTTTTCCTTGTGTTTCTGTCTGCCATTTTGGTTTGGTGGTTTTGTATGATGTTTTTCTCAGGTTTTTTTTTTTATGTTTCGTGTCTCTGCTCTAGATTTATGTTATGTGGTTACCATGAGGTTTGCATAAAATAGCTCATAGATAAAATAGTCCTTTTTATGCTGAGAGCACCTTATCTCCATTTACCTATACAGGTCTGTCCTTTTCATCTTCCCCTTTTATGTACTAGCTGTCATAAATTATCCCTTTTTAAGTTGTGAGTTTGTTACCAAATTGAAGTAGCTATAGTTATTTTTGCTGCTTTCCTTCTTTTTAACTTTTATGCTGTAATAATGTATTTAAAAACCTATTCTGACTGAGTTGTGATTTTTCTGATTCTATTTTACCTAACTCAAGGTTTTGTGTACTTTTGCCTTTTCATTTCAGGCAGAAGAGCTCCTTTGAACATTTCTTGTAAGGCAGGTCTAGTGGTGATGAACCTCCTCAGCTTTTGTTTGTCTGGGAAAGCCTTTATTTCTCTTTCATATCTGAAGGGTAACTTTGCTGGATAGAGTATTCTTGGCTGACAGATTTTATATTTCAGTATTTTGAGAATGTCACTCCACTCCCTCTTGGCCTAGAGTGTTTCTGCTGAGAAAACTGCTGATAGCCTAATGGGGGTTCCTTTGCAGGTTATCATCCTTTTTCCCCTGGCTGCCTTTAAAATTCTTTCTTTGCCACTGACTTTTGACAGTCATGGAGAAGAAGGTCTTTTTGTGTTGAGGTAATTAGGTGTTCTCTTAGCTTCATGGACTTGTATGTCCAGTTCCTTCCCCATGCTCGGGAAGTTCCCACTTATTATTTCTTTATATTCTCTATTTATCCTTAATTTTTGCCATTTTAATTGCAATGTGCCTTCGTGTGGTCCTCTTTGGGATTCTCTGTTCTTCTTGGACTTGGATATGTTTCCTTTCCCAGGTTAGGGATATATTCAGCTATTATATCTTCAAATGTGTTCTCTGCCCCTTTCTCTCTCTCTTCTCTTTCTGGAACCTCAAAAATGTGAATGTTAGTATGCCTGGTGTTGTGCCAGATGTCTCACACTGTCCTCACATCTTTTTATTCTTTTTCCTGTTCATCTTCAGTGATTTCCACTACTCTGTCTTCCACCTCACTGGTCCATTCCTCTGTACCATTTTGTCTACTGTTGATTCCTTCTAGTGTATTTTTCATTTCAATGATTGTATTCTTCACCTCTGTTTGGTTGTTCTTTATATTTTCTAACTGCTAAAAACTTCTAATTTCTCTCTCTGTTCATCCATTCTTCTTCTGAGTTCTCTGATCATCTTTACAAACATTACCTTGAACTCTTTCTTGGGCAGATGGACTATCTCCACTTCACTTAGCTCTTCTGGGGTTTAAATCTTACTCCTTTGCTTGAACTATGTTCCTCTGTTGCCTCATTTTGCCTAACTTGCTGTTTTTATTTCTGTGTATCTGGTAGGTTGGTTGCTGGTGTGTGGGCTAGGTCCACAGGCTACGGGGCTGTGGTTGTCCTGGGGTTGGTGTTTGCCCACTGTTGGGTGAGGCTAGTTCCAAGGCTAGAACAGGCTCATTGGTGGCTGGGATAGGGGATTCTGGGTCTGGTGCGTGCCCTCTGGTAGGTGGAGCTAGGTCCCAGGGTCTCTGCGTGCAGGGGCCTGGGTGTCCCAGATCTAGTGCCTGCCCAGTGGTGTGTAGAGTCTGGTCCTTAGCCCTCTGGTGGGCAGGGCTGTGTCCAGGGGAAGGTGTGGGCTCAGGGGGTCTTAAGGCTGACTGTCTGCTGTTGGGTGGGGCTGTGTCCCTGCCCAGTTAGTTGCTTGGCCTGAGGCATCCCAGTCCTGGTGCCTTAGGGCTGGGGGTGGGGTGGGGCTGGGTCCTGTGGCTAATAAGCTACAACAAGGATTCCCAAATGGCGCTTGCCAGCAACAGAGTCCATGTGGCAGAACGAGCTCCCAGAAATGGCTGTCACCATGCCTATGTCCCCAGGGGTGAGCTCCAATTAACTGCTTCCTGCCTCTTGGGGAGACTCTCCAAGATCAGCATGTGGGTCTGACCCAGGCTCCTTTCAGATTACTGCTTCTGTCCTGGGTCCTGGAGTGGGTGAGATTCTGTGTGAGCCTTTTAAGAGTGGAGTCTCTATTTTCCACAGCCCTCTGGCTCTCCCAAAAGTAAGCACCGCTGGGCTTCAAAGCCAAAAGTTCTTGGGGCTCATCTTCCTGGAGTAGAACCCCCAGGCTGGGGGGCCCAATGTGGGACTCAGACTTTTTGCTCCTTGGGGAGAACCTTGCAGTTGTAATTATTCTTCCATATGTGGGTCACCCACCCAGCGTATGGGTCTTGCCTATACTGTGACTCCCCACCACCTACCCATCTCATGGTTCCTTCTTTAAATCTTTAGTTGTAGAAGATCTTTTGCAGTAGGTTCTGGTCTTTTTCATCGACAGGTGTTCTGTAAATAGTGGCAATTCTGGTGTGCCTATGAGAGGAGGTGAGCTCACACCATGTATAAAAAGTAACTAAAAACGGATCACAGACTTAGCTATATAGAAGCTTAATCTCTAAAATTTCCAAGAGAAAACAGGAGACCATCTTAGTGACTTCTAGTTAGGCAAGGACTTCTTTAAAAAGGACATAAAAGGCACAACTTACAAAAGAAAAAACTGATAAACTGAACTTCATCAAAATTTAAAAACATTTGCTCTTCAAAACGAAGATAAAAATAAAAGATCAAAAAAAAGGGCAAGGCACACAACAGGGAAGAAATTTTTGCAAAACAAGTATGTGATAACAGACTTGTATCCAGAATGTATACAGAACTCTTACTACTCAATAAGAAAACTAACAAACCACCCCCCCCCCAAAACAAGCAACAGATGTGAACACATATGAATGGCAAATAAGTACACAAGAAGACAGCCATCACCATTAATCAACAGTCAATAAAACCACAATGAGGTACCACTGTGTATACACTGGAATGGCTAAAATTTAAATGATGGACAATACCCAGTGTTGGGCAGGATGCACTGTAATTGGAGCTCTCACATGTGGCTGATAGGAATGCAAACGGTACAGCCACTTTGGAAAACAGTTGGCAGTTCCTTATAAAGTTAACCGTATACTTACCATGTGACCTAGCGATTTCACTCTGAGGTATTTACCCAAGAAAAATGAAAACCTATGTCCACAAAAAGACTCATACACTAATGTTCACAGCAGCATTATTCATAATAGCCCCGAACTGGGAACAACCGAATAACCATCAACTGATGAATTGCTATCCATACAATGTAATTCCACTTGGCAATAAAAAGGAACAAATTACTAATATACACAATGAGGATGAATCTCAACAGCACTATGCTGACACAAAAGACTGTAAACTGGATGAGTCGATCTATATGAAGTTATAGAAAGAGCAGCATTAAAGTGACAGAAAGCAGACCAGTGCTTGCCAGGAGGTGGAGGATCAGGGCGGCAGACAGACTGCGAACGGTCACAGTCTGGAAACGTTCTATATGGTGATGGTGGCGGCGGTTACACGAATGTAGACAAGCTGTGAGAATTCTTGATTTGCACCCCTAAATTTGGTGAATTTATTGTATGTAAATATACCCCAATAAAGCTTACAAAAAGAAAAAAAATACTTTACTTTCACGCCAGGACCAGAACCAGACAGCCTGTTACCTAGTCACCTCCTGACCACAGAGTGTGAAGGATGTGTCATTTTGATCCACTACCTGCTGCTGCAGAACCAGCTCCCGGCGGAGAAGCCTCATGCAGTGACACTGTAGACAGTTCACTGGTAGTAAAATGATCGTTCTTATTCTCACTGTTGAGACTGACAGGCTGCTAGAAAGTAAGGACACAAGAAAAGATTTGAACATCTCAAGCATCCTATTACAAAGTAACTGGCAGATCTTCAACTTCACACGTTAAACAGAAAAAAAGGTATATACATAACCGAGAAGTAAAACATTTTCAGCCTGCCCCCAGGAATGTGGTCAAAGTTCCTTTATTTATAACATTAAAGATACTACTGCTTTTTGAGCACCTATTACATTCCAGGAACCTTACAGGTATGTGCTTTATTATTATTTTTTGTCATTCAGAACACATATATTGAACACTTTATATGTTCTAAGAATTGTTCAAAATGCTAATAATATAATAGTGAACAAAACCATGTTCCAGCTCTCCTGAGCTTATACTGCATGGGGAGAAGGGCTATATAAATATTATTTAATTTAGTCCTCAGAAAAAGCCATGAAGTCTTAATCTTTCCATTTTTCAAATAAGAAAACAAAGGCATAGAAAGGTTAAATATCTTGTGTAAGCTAAGCCACCTAACCTGTGGCAGAGCCGGGATTGGAAGCCAGGTCTGATTCCGTAGCCCAGGCTTTGCCTTAGGTTTCTAGCAAGTGTACTAATATCAGGCTTTCAAAATCGAGCATACTTCCGTGATTTGGATCATCAGATTCTGAACATTTGTTTAAAATCATTATCACACCTTGAAGGGAAGACTGAAGAAAAACTTTGCGTAAATATTCACGCTTGTCTTGGATCCTATACTAAGCATAGGAAAGTCTTATCCCAAAGTGTAACCTGACAAGTGAATCTGAGAATGCCATTTTAGGTAAAGAGATGAAAAGTTAAAGGAAAGTGACCAAAACTTTTTCGTTTTAAAAAATGACGTAAGTATAAAACTATATAAACTAACTACTTTACTGATAATTAATGACAAAAATGAGCTCCTACCCCCTCCATACAGACCTGGTGTCCTACAACTGTGTCTGAAAAAGTAAAATTGCTCAATTCATGTCTTATCAGTATGGCTTGTTCCTGTCTAACTAGCCCATAACCCCAGTTGTAAGTAAGAAAACACATTTTATAGGCAATGCACACTTAAGTTTAATACCTGGATATCAAATTTTAAAGCAGAGGAGAAATCCAGTTCACAAAGAAAATCTGAAAGACAGCACTTTGGGGAAAACCTCGCAAAGTATGTAAGAACTCAGGACACAGCAGATTCTTTCACTGCAGCTTTTTAAATGGAGTCTGAAGGACATACTGCATGTTTCTGCAGAACAAAGTGTCAACCTCAGCTGTAATACAGTTACCCATCTAGGCCATTAGTCTTGAGCCTCAGTACAAAAACCTTAATTTTAATAAGAGGACGCACATTTATTTTCTCTCTTGTGTGTTGGAAGTTAGTGTCACTTACATACTCAGCTTCTGGGGATGCACAGGATCTGGGCCTGTCCTCCTGCAGCAGGTCGAGCTGGAGCGGGGAGCTGCTCTTTGAGTTAATGAGGGGGTGCCCTTCATTCTGGGTCCCCCACTTTCCCTCGCCGCTCCTTTGGCTGATGGCTGAAGATGGTGGGCCTGGATTTGGAGGCACTGCTGATACCGAGGCAGGTATTTGAGAAGAGCCTGCTGCTCCCAAGAATGGATATGGGGAGAATGGTGGTAACAAGAGAGGACAGATAGGGGGGTCATGCAGGAAGATGTTCATAAAAGTATCTAAGCAAGCAGAGGGCAGAGCTGGGAAAGACTGCAAGCCATTGGGGAAAGGCGGCTCAGGCAGACTCTGCAACGCAGTTTCTGAGGCTGCATGTTCTCTCCCCAGGGAGGTCATGGTTGGGAGGGGAAGGGCTTGGACGAGGCAAGGTGCCTGGCTGGGAACCACCACTGCAGCCTGGAGCAATGGGCCAGAGGCATAAGGAGAGGAGGTGGAGGAAGGGCACCAGGGCTGTCCATCCTGGGTCTCTCCTGCGAGGTGGGGACAGAAGTCATCCTTAGTGCCCTTGCTGTCCGACCACATGAGCAGCTTCTTACGCTTGTGCTTCCCCTTCCTGCAACCAGCGGATCGGGTAGGCTTGGAAGCAGAATCTCCTGAAGGGTAAAGAGGAAGGCGTGTTACAGAAAACTAAGCCAGAACAGAAGAGAAGGACAATGTTGATAGATAATTCTAAGTAGATTTTACAAGGAATACACATTGGCCGATACTAACTATGTCCACTGCAGGGATGACAGAAAATAGCTCTGAAAAGATGAACAAGATCCTGGGTAAAAGCTGTTGCTATAAAATAAACTTATTGCAGTATCTCTCAATCAGTTTCTTACAAGCAAAACTCCTATACTCCACTCCGTATCTCCCAGTACTCACGTATGATTTATAAATTTGACAACTATGTTGATAAAGGGAATATATTTTCAAAATTTTAACTACCTTGAACATCTGAATATGTAGCTTTGCTTCTGCTTTCTTGCTGAAGATAGGAGCCGTAGGGCGATGACAGAATCCTGTCCCGGAACTGATCCACATAACTCGGCTCTTCCTTCTGCGTGTGGGCTGACAGCACAGCTTTTGTGAGCCCTGTGTGTTTAAACTGTTCTGAGGCCAGTGGAGCTGGGTGTGTGCTGAGGGTCCAGGGCTCACAGGGCAGGGTGCCAAGCTCTGCTGGACTCAATTCTGATGAAGTGGAGGAAGACAGATTTCATTTTAACTCCTATCAGTTATTTTGCATTTATTTACTTTCACTAATTTAGTTATCTTTCAAGAAATGTTTACAATCATTACAACAGCTGGAACATAAAACCTTCATCAATCTAGCAGATAAATTTTTAATTTTTCTGCCTTTCTTTATACTCTTTGTACACTTGTATATATGTTTTAGAGTTGTAATACTCAAGGTACATACTTATTTAAATCTTGCTTTCATTGTAAATATTCTTCTATCTCCCTGAATTCTCCAAGAAATTGTTATGTTTGGATTTATTTTTCTTAATATGTAATATGCCCACGTGGTTCAAAAATCAGCATGTATTAGAAAGACATTTAGTAGCTTCTCCCTACCCCTGTACACAATCTGCCTAGTTCTCATTTATTCTCCCCACAGAAAACCATTTCTTTTATTTCCTTATATATCTGTCTACTTTCTTTACACATCTATAAATAAGCATGAATACAGATTCTTATTCTTCACCTCCATGTTTACCCAAACGGCATATAATCTTGTACACTAGCCTGCAATGTGTTTTTTCATTTAACAATATCCCTTTTATCAGTGCATCACATATGATGTATTTATGACTTTTTACTAAAGTAAGCATCTGTAGATGGATGCTGAGTTGCTTCTACACATTACTTCTTCCAGGTACAAAAGACTTTATGGTGGACACTGGTGGGTTCTCCCAGTGTCCATTCCACCTCTCCCCTGCTGTGTGGTACTGAGGTGTGGGTGGGCATGCCCCCATTCTGCTTCCAGAAACAGGCACTGACTAGTGTAAGTCAACACAGCGGAAGGACTTCGGATTTTGGCCAAGATGGAGGAACAGGGACTAGACTGACCTTCCCACCTGAAACAACCAGGAAGGGGCTAAATATATGAAACAATAAGTTCCAAGACACTGAACATCAGGTAACAAAGGAGAGTGACTCTTAAGGGATGGAAAACAAGGTGAGCCCCACATCTGCCTGGCTTACTGCCTTGAGAGTTTCTGAGGAGCAAGGTGGGGAAACCAGGTGAGCCTTGTGGGACCCCTGAGAGCAGAGGCAGAGCTGAGAGTCTAGGGAGGCCACGGTGGCTGGAGTTTTCAGGAAGAGAAATGTAGAGGACAGCTGCACAGAGAGGACTCCAGACAGCTGCAGGGACCCCAGAGTCCTCACCAGTGCACAGATGGGAGGAAAAAAATCACCTGAAAGGATCAGACCAAAGCTCACACCACCTGGAGAACAGGGCTCACTCTCAACAGCCAGACTAGAAAAACCTCATAATCCCCGGGCATTGGGTAGAATGCTCTGAAGGGTCTTGCCTCAGTAGCAGAGAAGAATTAGGCCTACCCTACACTGCTCTGGTCCAGACTAACCAATTTTAAAAGCAGAGCCTGAAAAGACCAATCTGTTTCCACATTGCTTAACTGGGTCCCAGAATAAAGCTCAATGGTGCTCACAGCAATACAGAAATATTCAGCACCCAATCACAGTATCTGGCATCCAATCAAAGACTAGGCATGCAAAGAAGCAGGAAAATACAACCCACAATAAGGAGAAAAATTAATCAAGCAAAACCAACCCTGGGCTGGCAGAGATGTTAGAATTGGCAGGTAGAATGTTAATAGTTATTATACTGTATTCCATACAGCCACAGGGAAAATTAAATATGTTATATAAAGACATGGGGCTTCCCTGGTGGCGCAGTGGTTGAGGGTCCGCCTGCCGATGCAGGGGACGCGGGTTCGTGCCCCGGTCCGGGAAGATCCCGCATGCCGTGGAGCGGCTGGGCCCGTGAGCCATGGCCGCTGGGCCTGCGCGTCCGGAGCCTGTGGTCCGCAACAGCAGAGGCCACAGCAGTGAGAGGCCCGCATACGGCAAAAAAAAAAAAAAGACATGGAAGATATATTAAAAAACATCCAAACAGAACTTCTGCAATGAAAACTAAAATATGTGAGTTGGAAAATATACTGAATGGAAATAACAACAGATTAGATATTGTAATAGAAAATACTAGTGAACCTGAAGACATAGCAACAGAGACTGTCCCAAAATGAAACAAAGACCTAAAAAATTGAAAAAAACTTAAATGAACAAAGCATCAGTGGACTGTGAGACAACTTCAAGCAGCCTATATACCTATAACTTGAGTCCCAGAAAAAGAGGAAACAGAAAAAATATTTTAAAAGTAACGGAAAACATTCTTTTCTATTTGATGGAAACTCTAAACCTACAAATCCAAGAAGCTCAATGAACTCCAAGCACAAAAAACATGAAGAACACTACATCATGGACATCACAAATTCTTTTTTAAAAAATTAATTAATTAATTAATTTTTGGCTGTGTTGGGTCTTTGTTGCTGTGCGTGGGCTTTCTCTAGTTGCGGTGAGCGGGGGGCTACTCTTCACCGCAGTGCGCGGGCTTCTCATTGAGGTGGCTTCTCTTGTTGTGGAGCACGGGCTCTAGGTGCGCGGGCTTCAGCAGCTGTGGCACGTGGGCTTCAGTAGTTGTGGCACGCAGGCTCAGTAGTTGTGGCTCATGGGCTCTAGAGCGCAGGTTCAGTAGTTGTGGCACACAGGCTTAGCTGCTCCACGGCATGTGGGATCTTCCTGGACTAGGGATCAAACCCATGTCCCCTGCATTGGCAGGCAGATTCTTAACCACTGCACCATGAGGGAGGTCCCTCAAATTCTTTAAATTAATGATGAGGAGAAAATCTTACAAGTAGCCAGAAAAAAGACATGCAAACAGTACATATGACAGCAGACTTCCTGTCAGAAACAATGCAAATGAGAAGACAGTGGAGCAGCATCTTTAAGGTACTGAAAGATAAACACTGTCAACCTAGAATTCTATGCTCTGATAAAATGTCTTTAAAACAAGAAGGTGAAATAAAGACATTTTCAGACATACAAAAATGGGAAGAATTCATCATCAGTAGACCTGTACTACAAGAGATAGAAAAGGAATACCCTCAGGCAGAAGGAGAGTGATATCAGATGAATCTAAGTAAAGGAATGAAAAGCACTGGAAGAGATAACTACAGGGGTAAACATTTAAACCTCTTTCAAAGATAATAACTATGTAAGTAAGCATAGTAACAATGTAGTGTGGGATTTCTAACATACGTAGAAATATATGCCAATAGACAAAGGCCAAAGGGGGGAATTGGAAGTATAGTACTTTAAGTTTCTTATACTATGCATTAAATGGTATAATATCTCTAGAAGGCAGACTGGCAAAAATTAAATATATACATCATAAACTCTAAGCAACCACTAAAATAAAGCCCACGTTAAATACCAAGACATACATAGGTTAAAAGTAAAGGGTGGAAAAAGATATAACATGTTAACACTAATCAAAAATAAAAAAAGAACGCTGGAGTGAATATAGTAACATAAGACAAAGTATATTTTAGAGCAAAGAATAGACAAAGGATAAGAAGGTCATTTCACAATGATTAAAGGATAAATTCATCAAAAGGACACAGCAATTCTAAACATTTACGTACAAAGTAAGAAAGCTTCAAAATGCATGAAGCAAAAACTGATAAAATGGCAAGGAGAAATAGACAAGCCCACAATTACAGCCAGAGACTTCAACACTCCTCCTGAGGTACAGCAAGGATTCAGAAAACTGGGGGATAGAGAAGACTTGAACAAGACTATCAACCAACCTGACCTAGTTCACAGACTAGGCAGAATAAACATCCTTTCCAAGTGCATACAGAACATTTACCAAGATAGACCATATATATACAGACCATAAAACAAGCCTCAATAAATTTAAAAGAATTCAAGTTTTGTATTTTCTCTGACCAAAATGGGATTAAATTAGAAATCAATAACATAAAGAGGTCTGGAAAATCTCTAAATATGCTTTCTAAATAATATATGATAATATATATATATATGACATTTGTGATAATGTAAATGATTTCAGAGAAGATATAAAAAGGGATATTAGGCAGCATTTGAACATGATGAAAATGAAATGAAATGCATCAAAATGTGTGAAATGCAGCTGAGAGTAAAAGAAAAATTTACACTAAAATCCACTAGGGAAGAAATATCTGAAATCAATGACTTCAGCTTCCATCTTAAGAAACTGGAAAAACAAGAGCAAGGTAAAACAAAAGTAAGCAGAAGAAAGGAAATAAGGAAGATCAGAGTAAAAATCTGTTAAGTATTGTAGAAAACAGAAAAATAGTAAAGAGAGAAAATCAATAAAACTTTAAGCTGGCTCTTTGCAGAGAGCAGTAAAATTGATTAAACTCTAGCAAGACTGATGAGGAAAAAAAGAGCAGATGTAAGTTACCAATTTCAGAAATGATAGAGGAAACATCACTAGAGACCCTACTATCACTAGACATCAAAAGAATAATAAGGGAACATTATAAACAACTTTTTCCAATAAACTTGACAACTTAGACAAAATCGACCAGTTCTTTGGGACATACACACTAACAAAGATCACTCAACAAGAGGTAGAAAACCTGAATAGCCCCATATCTACTTAAAAAATTGAATTTGTAGTTAAAAACTTCTCCACCAAGAAACCTTCAAGCCCAGATGGCTTTACTGGTGAGTTTGAGCAAACATTTAAGGAAGAAAAAAATACCAATTCTACATAAAGTCTTCTAGAAAACTGAAGAGAACAAAACACTTCCCAGCTCATGCTATGAGGCCAGGAGTATCCTGATACCAAAACCAAAGTCATTAAAACAAAAGCAAACAAAATGACAGACCAATCGCTCTCATAAACATAGATCTCGAAATTCTTATGAAAATTTTAGCAAAATGAATCCAATATATAAAAAAGGAAATAAATCATGACCAAGTGGGGTTTAACCCAGGAATGCAAAGATATTTTAACATTTAAAAGTGAAGAAGACACAAATACATGGAAGGATATTTCGTGCACATGGATTGGAAGAATCAATATTGTTAAAATGTCCATGCTACCCAAAGCAATA